GTGGAGCCAGGAGAGGGGCGCGGGCCGCCGCGTACCCCAACGTCTGCCCGGGGGGGGGTCCCCTCCCCACCCCACCTTCCCGTGGATGCCGGCGTGGGCAGGTTTGTGCCCGCGGTTTAGTTTCCACACTTTGCAGGGCTCATCAGCCAACCCCTGGTTCACACTCTCCTTTGCGTTTGGACCTCGCTTAACCCTTTTGTGCAGTGTGTGTGTGTGTGTGGGGGGGGGGCTCAGAGCTCGGAGAGGCAGCGACGGGCAGATGGAGCCCCGAGTAAAGTGGAGGAGTTTCGAGACACCCCGGGGGCCGGGCTGTGCATCCAGCTTGCGCTCCTCCACGGAGCCAGCTCAGCGCAACTTTCCTTCCAGGGATGGTTGGGGCAGCCTCGCGGGCTCCAGGCCGCTCGCTCCCTGGACCAGCGGCTTTGCTGGGCCGCAGGCTCCCGGGTGACTTGGATGGACCTGCGTGTTCCTTCCGGGAGAGGAGAATGCCCAGCCGCCTGGGATGGGGAACCATGGCCAGTTCCCCGGGGAATGTGAACTCCGGGCTGTCAGGGTCTGGCAGGGGGAGCAGCCGCTTTTGCGGATCAAGACTCGGCAGAAGCTCACCGCGCGCAGCAGGAGCGTCTCACCTGCTGGAGGCTGGGACAGAGCTGGGGGAGACAGTGCATCCCTGGGAGCGGGGTTTTGATCGCTCTGTCCCAGGCTGCAGGCCCCTGTTTCCGGTGCGGCTGGGAGTTTTATTCCCGCTGGGTGTAATCTGGTCATCGTTTCTTTCTTTTCTTTTTTAAAAATATATTTTATTGATTTTTTACAGAGAGGAAGGGAGAGGGATAGAGAGGGAGAGAAACATCAATCAGCTGCCTCCTGCACACCTCCTACTGGGGATGTGCCTGCAACCAGGGTACATGCCCTCGTCGGGAATCAAACCTGGGACCCTTCAGTCCCCAGGCCAACGCTCTATCCACGGAGCCAAACTGGGGAAGGCTGGTCATCGTTTCTTAATGATGCCTAACCAGTGTCACATTTTTGCTCTTGGGCTTGTAAGATAGATTTCACGTGAGGACATCTATCCAGTTCTTACCATTTGTAACCAGTGCTTGCATAACATCGATTGGGAGAGGCGGTCCGTGCTGGGCTGTTGGGGGGGGGGAGGGGGGTCATTTCCATTCATTGAGATGCTTCATTAATGAATTTTTTGTATCATTTACATTCCTTAGATTTGTTTTATGGCTTTTGGGGGGTGGGAGTGGTGAGCACAACCCTGTTGAAAAATCGTATTACTATTATCTGTGAAACTGAATAAAAAGAATGGGTGCCAGGCCCTGGCCACTCAGTGGGGGCCTGGCACAGTGCCCCTGCTCGTCCGCAGAGTACCTGTACCTGGCCACGCAGCTCTGTCTCCGACGGCCGCTTCTCAGAGCAGCGTTGAGGAGGTACACTCACTCTCACTCACGTTTTAAAGGTGAAGAAACTGAGGTTGGAGGTTAAAGAAACTGGACCTTGGAATTCAGGGAATGGGATGGAGGAGTTTTGTCCCTCTCCCTTCCTTTCAAAATAAAAAAAAAAAGGATGAAATATTTTCAATATTTCCAGTATCGAAAGAGAATATAAGTCAAGCTTCCATTTCCCCCCACTACCTACCTTTAGGAGTTGCTAATCTTTCCATATTTGCTTTCTATCCCCCTCATAAAAATAAACTACAGCCGAAATACTTTATCCGTCCCTCCTCCTCTGCCTTCACCCTCAGGTGCCTACTAATGTGAAGGTCACATATAACGTCTTCATACATGTCTGGTACTTCTGGATCTTACCTGTTCACAAACTACCTTCGAGCTTGTGTGTTTCGCATTTTATATACATGGTGTCCTTCTCTATACAGACAACTTGCATTTTTTCATTTGTCCTTGTGTTGTTTTTTTAAAAAATATATTTTATTGATTTTTTACAGAGAGGAAGGGAGAGGGATAGAGAGTTAGAAACATCCATGAGAGAGAAACATCGATCAGCTGCCTCCTGCACATCCCCACTGGGGATGTGCCCGCAACCAAGGTACATGCCCCTGACTGGAATCGAACCTGGGACTCCCCAGTCCACAGGCCGACGCTCTAGCCACTGAGCCAAACTGGTCAGGGCTGTCCTTGTGTTTTTGAGGTACATGTAGAACTTTCTGTAGCTGCTACAGAGAATCCCAGTGTATGGATACGTTGGCTTATGCTCACTCCCTCGCCAAGAGAAAGCTAGAGCGTTCCCAGTTTTTTACTATGAACACCGTTTCTGCTGAGGACATTTGCCCCGTTTCCACTTTTTTTTGCTACGATAAATAGTGCCACAACAAACATCTGAGGCGTGTTTCCCTAGGCACAAGCTGCTGTGATACACACGTACGCCATTCATCGCTGGGTAGTGCGGTCTAGGGAATGCTACATTTGTTTTTTCTTTCACGTCTCAACAAACATTTAGGGTGGATATATAGGGCCCTCTTGGTTATTTGTTGAATGAAAAAGTAAAATTGATCAACTTTTAGCTCCAAGAAGATTATGTTAGTTGACCGGACTCTGTTGCTGTTTTGTTAATTTGTTTTTTTAAGTAAGAAAAATACCTCTTACTTACAAAGTTGGAGCAGGAGACAAACTGTGGCGCGGACGGGGGATACTTGTGCCGAAACCTTTCTCAGCCAGTGAGTCCCTGGTGGTGTCACCTCGGATGACTCACTCAGCCTTCTCTCATTTCGTGGTGAGATTAAGGGGTTTGAGTAAGCATTTACAGAGGCACATTCTTGCTTCTACGAGTTTGTGAAAATGTGGCTGCGTTCATGACATTTGGCCCCTCATTGTAATCCCTTAATCTGGAAGCAGTTGAAGGCATTTAAATACATTGG